CAAATAATATTTTTTCTGCAGAACACATTTTGAACAAGCAGAGTCTTCTGGGTAAAATTCAAGGTGTTAGTTATCACCTCTAAAGCCCTACATAGCATGGGTTCAGGTTACCTGAGGGACTGCTTCATCCCTATTACATCAACCCGGCCCACCCAGTCAGGCAGAGAGGGCATGTTGCTGACCCCGTCAGTGAGAGAATGTCAGCTGGCGGGGCCCAGGAGGAGAGCCTTCTCTGCTGTTGCCCCCACCCTTTGGAATATTCTCCCCTGCTAGAGGTGCAGCGGGCCCCTACCTTCCTGGCTTTCTGGAAAGATTTAAAGACCTGGCTCTGCCACTGTGCTTGGGGCAAGATGGGCTCTAACCATCCTTAGGGGTGTTTAGCACCCTGACGATGCTCCCTTGAACTATCCGCCAACTCTCCATCTTTCTTGGAAGCTATTTATTATTGAGACTGTTTCGTATTGTATTTTAATGAATTTTATCTCTGCTGTAAACCTCCCAGTGTCATTTCAACAAGATGGGCAGTGACAAATTTGATAAATAAATAGCAAGAATTATGGATTTCAGCAGCTGGGGCACTAGTGCACCACAGTTCCTTTCTGGAAGGGAATTAAAATTGACAATAAGATCCAACTTTAAGTTATGCAGAACTGTTCCTAACTCAAGCTATTTCTTCTTCTCCATTTCCAAAATACGTGCTTCTGCCACTTTTGTCAACATGAACTTACTACAAAATACAAAAAAGATATTGGACTAGTCCCAGGGAGACCCAGGTTTAAATCTGCCCTCAGCTGCAGCAGCTTACTCAATTACTTTGAGCTACTCTCCCTCTCTCAGTCCAATCTACTTAATACAGATTGTTATTGTGGAGAAGGGAGTGCTGTATAAATTGCCTTGAGTTCCTGAAGGAAGGATGGGATACAATCTAACAGACAAGTAAATATCTCATGAATCTTCTAAGAAAAGTCTAAAGAATCTATCACAAATAAGTTCTGTTTTTACTATAGAAATCATTGAATTATCATGTTATCAATATGCTATACTAACTTAAGTAATAGTTAAGATTTAATTATTTAAAGAAGTATGTATATGATTAAAGAAACATAACAGTTTACAGTCCCTGCTTCTTATTCTCAGAAAACTGCTGCAGATGGCAAGAGGCAAGAAATCATTGTGCTGGATTCCAAGCGGAGCAATGCTATTAATATTGGGCTGACTGTATTACCACATCCAAGGACAATCAAGATTGCCATTTTGAACTTCGATGAATATGCCTTAAATAAGGAAGGAATAGAGGTACTGAGAAAACCATGCAGAGCATTAAGTTAAACAGTATATTGTTATTTCCAGGTTCTAATGGTTGAAAATGTATTGATGTATGAATTCTTTTAATGGACTGATATGATTAGTATTAATGTAACATTTTCTCCTTCTGCAGACATATGATCTTTTTAAAAACAATCAGCAATATAGGGCACAATTTTAATTTTGAACAAAGCATTCATATTCATATTCATTACAATGTCACAATAAAATTTTCCTCTATTTTCCAATTAACCAGTACAGAGCCAAAAAAAAAAGGCAATACCATGGGAATAGATGTAAAAATCATACAACTCCATAAAGGTTTAGTTTGGGTGTGTGTTCGGGAGCCAGGTGTAGCCTGAATTCCAGTGTGAGCCTGAGTAATTCAGAATACTACATAGTAAATTTTAATTAACTTGAGGTGGAGCAGGTACAGTCAGGTCCAGAAATATTGGGACATCGACACAATTCTAGCATCTTTGGCTCTATACACCACCACA